TAACTGTACTTGCACAGGCTGGACAGTCATTGTTCATACAACTAATAATCTTCATGTCATTGCACTGGGAATTGTTTACATCTTGTCAGACATCTTGTGCACCCATTTTGATAACCCTATTTGAATGAGTTGCCATGAAAATCTCTATAAATGACTTTTCTCTGGTGAACCTTATCTTTCACGAATGAAAAGAGGTGTGTGAACTATTACTTGCAACCAATGAAAAGCCTCTTCTACACAGTCCCTAACAGGTGACTCGCGTTAACCCCTACCTTACAAGTATGTATAAATACTGCAAACCAGTACACAGGATTTGCATGAGGTGCATACTGTATCTACAAAACTGCAGAACATGGAAGGTCAGCCTTGTGGAAGAGGGGTGAGGACGAGTGCAGGAAGGGGACAAAACCGGGGAAGAAGAGGCCAATCACATAGACAGATTCCTGATGAAATCAGGGCAACACTTGTGGATCATGTGATGAACCATGTACTGCAACCTTATTTACAACTGAGACTGTACAATCTGTTGTGCAACATGCACCATTACAGACGTTTTCCCTCTGACCTTCTCCTGGATCTGGAGGCCAGGGAACCCCTGCACACATTCATATATCTTGACGAAGCGGGATTCAATCTGGCAAAAGGCAGACGGCGTGGACGAAATCGCATTGAAGAAAGAGCCATCTTTGATGTCCTAGGCCAACGAGAAGCTAGTTTTACAATGTGTGCAGCAATCTCAGAAAACGGCATCCACACCTATATTGCGTCACAGGATGCGGGTGAGTGAAGCCGAGGTGAGGATCCGAGCGCAGGGTAAGAAGGCAGGCAGGTAGACAGGAACGTTTTACAGGTTTTAATAAGGAGCAAGCTGGACATGGAAACAATGAATCGACAAGACACACAGAACTGAGAGGGTTTAAATACATGAGGGCTGGGAGCTTGGGTGATTGGAAAACGAGAGGCAGGTGGGAGCAATCAGGAGACACAACACAGAACAGAGTGGGAAGACAGGACAGGGTGTGACATATTGCTCATATTGGTCCATACAATACACAACACCTGGTGGCTTTTCTGGACACTCTTTATAGGGACCTAATCCCAGAAAATGAAAGGGATGAGCCTGATGACAATCGGACAATGCATGACGTGGTTTGGGATAATGTCAGCTTCCATCACTCTGCTGTAGTCAGGCAGCGGTATGCAGCACACGACAGGATGCTCATGGAGTTTCTTACACTCCATTCCTAAATCCAATTGAGTGTTTCTCTTCCTGGAGGTGGAAGGTATATGACAGGCATCCACATACCCACATGACCCTGCTAGCAGCTATGGATGCAGCTTGTGATGACATCACAGCAGAGTCCTGCAGAGGGTGGATTCGACACTCCAGAAGATACTTTCCCCGATGCATCGACAGAGCTGACATTCCCTGTGATGTTGATAAAAATATGTGGCCAGACAGACGGGAGCGTCTAGATGTAGATTATTGCTATGCAGCAGTGTCTGTTTTTCCGTGTTTGTTTGGTTTCCTAACTACTGCAGTAAGGTTTGCTGTGTGTACGTGAGTTTATATTTGTTGTAAATGTTGGTTTTATTTCCCCAGTTGCACAATGCTGTGAACAGTTGCAAGTAAATATTACCAAGCGTGCATGTCAAGTGTTTTGATTTTCCTTTACGATGTCTAGTTTTCAACGTGCCATGCATGCTGTCCTGACTATACATGCCAAAGTAATCCGTCACAATGAAAACATGTTCAAACCATTTGATTTTGTGAGCAAAGATGCTGTAATGACCTGTGATGTTGACAGCACTGACGCTTAGATAGAAATACTTGCTTTTGAGGAACATATTATCCATTTTGATTAAGGGACTTGCTTTTGTAGCGTGAACTACCCATTCTGAGGTACTGACTTATTTGTTTATGAAGAAGTGACTCACTTTTGCACGTTATCGGCCATGTTTAGCAGTTTGCACTAATTGTTTTGAGAAGAGTCTAAAGAGTGGTGCAAAGTTCAATCCTGTTGAGAAATGAGATCAACTAAATAGTTGATCTGATGTTCATGAAAGAACATAACAAGGAAATTTCATTCTTTTACATGAATTGCAAAGGTTCACATGTGTGACACAGCTGTAACTACACTCAGCAAAAATATAAACGCAACACCTTTGTTTCTGCTCTGATTTTTCATGAGATGGACTTAAAGATCTAAAGTTCATTCCAGATACACAATGCTACCATTTCTCTCAAACATTGTTCACAAATCAGTCTAAATGGGTGATAGTGAGCACCTGTGCTTTGCTGAGATAATCCATCCCACCTCACAGGTGTGCCACATCAAGATGCTGATCTGACATCATGAGTAGTGCACAGGTGTACCTTATACTGCCCACAATAAAAGGCCACCCTAGAATATGCAGTTATCTCACAGCAAATTGCCACAGATGCCACAAGCATTGAGGAAGCGTGCATCTGACTAGGATATCTCCTGCTCACCTTCCT